CCGTGGGCTTGATCTCTCCCTGATACTCACCTATATGCAGGGCTTTCTGTGTTTCCTGCTTTGGGGCCACCAGTTTTATTTCCTCAGCTTCAGCTTTAGCCCCACCCTGAGCCCAGCCCATCTGAGCTCCATGCTCAACAGTACACCTGGAGCCCCTCCTCTTTGGCTCCTGCTCTGTCGTCCCCCACATTCTCTGTCCAGCTTTCTGGAGAGGGCAAGGACTTTATAGCAGCCCTTGCCCAGCCTCCCCTCTGCCTCAGTGTCCTCCAGAACAGATTGCTCGTCCAGGGTAGAGCAAGCATCCCTAAGAGCCTTAAACAAACCAATCAACCAAACCAAACCAAACCAAACCAAACCAAACCAAACCAAACCAAACCAAACCAAACCAAACCAAACCACCTTTATTTGCTGTGTGTAAATGCACGTACCATGACATGTGTGTGGAGGTCAGAGGACAAGTTAGGGGTGTCTGTTCTCTCCTCCCATGTGAATCCCAGTGAATACAACCCAGACTATCAGAATTGGTGGCAAGCGATTTCACCCACTGAGTTATCTCGAAGGTCCTAAGAGAGCATTCTTCTTCTCTGTCTTCCCCCAGGATAGCCCTGGGCAGCTATGGGGCAGCTATGAGAATAATTAAAAAAAAAAACCACTGAAACATATATGAAAGTAAATAGCTCAGTATAATTCATGCATTCACTATAGTTCCAACAATTCCTAATTCAGAGGCAGTCTGGTTTAATCTCTACCTGACTCCCATCCTCTTCCTGTTGATCATTTCAAAGCAGTTTTCCTGCATCAGACTTCTATCCACACATTCTTCTGTGTGTACCTCTGGCAGGCACGGCCTCCTCACACCCTGGAGTTGGTACAGAGAAGGCGAGGCAGGCCACATCTTACCCTACCCCCGCTCTCGTTTTCAGAACAAAGAGCCAAGCAACCGTCCAAGGGCAATGAGGACTTTCCCAGTCTCATTATTAATAAACTGGGTTTTAGGATATTAGGCATGCTTAATCCATATATTTGTTTGTTTTTGGAGATAGGAGCTCATTCTGCAGACCTTGAACTCATGGCAATCCTCCTGCCTCAGCTTCCTGGATTCAGTGATTAGATTCGAGTCTCTCTGTGAGGCTTCCATAATTGTCTGTGCTGCTTGAATTCTACTCTTGCTCAGACTTTTCCAAGTGTGTACGTGTGTGTTTGTCGAGGAGGGGTATGCAAGCATGGGCATACATTTATGTGTGGTTGGGTATGTGTGTGAACAAATGTGCTGTGTATGCATGTGTGTGAAAACCAGAAGAGAAATTTTTGGTGTTGTTCCTCAGGGGCAGTCCATCTTGATTTTTGAGACAAGGTCTTTCTACATTTCCTTGACTGTCCTGGAATTCACTGTGTAAATGAGGCTGGACTTGTCCTCACAGAGATCCGCCTGCCTGTCTCCTAAGTGCTGAGATTAAAGGCCCAGGCTACCATGCCTGGTATGGGTCCCACATTTTCATGTGAGTTCTGGGATTGAACTCAGGTCCTCATGCTTGTCCAGCAAGCAACTCACCAACCAAGCCTTCCTCAGCCTGATCCCTCCAAAGTTTTTAGAGGATATAGCTATAAAGAAATCTTGAGAGAACATAACAGAGGAGATTATGGTAATATTTCAAACTCACATTTAAAGATTTGTTTTTACTTCTTTGATTTTACATCTGTATCTCTTATATCTTGGTTCCTAAGAGACTCAAAAGGATTGCTTATTTGATATGTAAACACATATGTTTGACTTGTTCAGACAGCCGGTGCTGCAAATCTCCACGTTCTGCAACCCACACCAGATGGAAGATATTTGAAAAACAAATTACTTCTGGATTGGACTAGCACAGCTCTTATTCTTTCCCCAACAATACAATGTAGAAATACTCCACCTAGCATCCCCATTGTGCTCGGTATTTTGAGGAATCTAGAGATGGTTTGAGTCACACTGGAGGACACATGTAGTTTCTAAGCACAGACTACCCTACTTTATGTGAAAGACTTGAGCGCTGAGTGTTTGCCTGGAGGGCATCTAGAGTGGGAACCTGCCCATAGTATTACTTATGGTTCAATTATTTTTGTCCTTTGGATATTAGTGATAATAATAACTGTCATGCACCTTTATTGTGAGGCTCCACTAGAGTGTTTGTCAACCAATTATACTATACTCTGTGTGTGTGTGTGTGTGTGTGTGTGATGCATTCACATATGTGTGCAGATGCATGCACTTGTGAGCATGTGCAGAGGGGAGCAGAGGGTCTCTGGTGTCCTGCTATATTACTCTTTGCCTTGGCAGGGTCCCTTGTTCAACCCAGAGTTTGAGTTTTTCAGTTAGGCTGGAGCCAGAAGTCCCAGAGTCTTTGCCCTCTGTCCTGTGCACAAGCATGCAGAGGCTGACACCTGGCATTTATATGAGTGGTGGATTCTCAACACTAGTCTTCATGCTTGAGAGGCAAGTCCTGTTAACCACTGAGCCATCACTCTAGCTGCTTGTCTTTTGCTAATATAGGCCATGTTGCAGTACACAGGTTTATGCGCTCATATTCATTCTCTCTCTCTTCTCTCCTCCTCCTCCTTCTCCTCCTCCTCCTCCTCCTCCTCCTCCTCCTCCTCCTCCTCCTCCTTCTTCTTCTTCTTCTCTCTCTCTCTCTCTCTCTCTCTCTCTCTCTCTCTATCTCTCTGACTCTCTCTCTGACTCTCTCTCTCTGACTCTCTCTCTCTTTCTCCCCCTCTCCCCTTCCTTACATAGCCCAGGTTGGTCTTGAACTTACTCTATCCCTGAGAATAACCTTGAACTCCCGTTACTCTTGCCTCCGCTACCTCCCAAGTACTCAGATTACAGGTGTGCTCCACCATGCCCACCTCCGTTTTCTGTTTTTCTCATTTGTCTTTGGGTCAGTTATTAGTGGTGGGATTTCCAGGTCAAAAGGCACATACGCTCTTGCTAAAGCTGCCAAGATGCCCTTCCCACGGGTGATTAGGAAAGCACCTGCCACCCTGGCCTCTCCCAAAGATTGTGCCGTCAAACATCTGGAGTTTTGCCAATCAGATAGTGGGCCACTGGTATCAGAGTGTACTTTTAATTTGCATTTTCTTGTTATGAGGGAGGCTGAGCATTTTTTTCCCCCTGAGGCACAAAGGCCACATGCCTCTCCTCTTTCCCTCTGTTCTGGTCCTGTTTTCAGCCCACTCTCCCAGAGCACTGGCTGCCACAGTCTCCTCAGGCTTTAGATGTTCCTTACATACTAATAGATTACTATTAATCCTTTGCCTGTGGTGGTGAAAACTGTGGAGACTCTCCCAGTTTGTCCCCTATCTCTTACTTCCCCTGCGGTAGCTTTCTGCTTTATCTGCTGCTTCTGGATTTCACAGCACAGTTGGAAATGTTATCCTTAGTGACAGTTTCTTGAGGCAGGTGCCCTTCCCCCACATCCTCATCAGACCCAGGTCTTTGCACACAGTAGGCACACACTCTACCTCTGGCTATACCAACAGTCCCTCACCCTTGTTCTTTCTGTGTAGCTTTACTTTTATGCCAAAGCCTTTGATCCACCTGCTCTCGCTTCCTTCTATCGCTTCGATACACACCAGGACCAAGAGCAACTTGGGTGAGGAAAGGGTTTATTTCAGCTTACCGGTTACAGCCCATCTTCAAAGGGAGGCCAGAGAAGGACCTCAACCAGGAACCTGGGGAGGCAGGCCTGCTCAATATTCCACAAAGCACCAACTCCCATCAAAGAACTCATTCACTACCAAGGAAGTTCTCACCAGAAACCCCAGAGGAACGCTGCTTGCTTGCGTGGTTCTTGGGCTCATGCTCAGCTTGCTTTCTTACATAGTTTAGGACCACCTGCCCAGGGAACAGATGCCACCCACAGTGGGCTGTGTCTTCCCACATCAATTAAGACAACCTTCCTCAGACACACCCACAGTTAATCTAATCTAGGCAGTCCTTCAACTGATTCCCTTCTCAGATGACCCGAGGCTGTATCAAGTTGACAACTGAAGCTAACAGAAGAGCATCTGAAAGTTATTCTTGTGCCTGGTGTGAGAGGTGGGTGTGGCGTATCACAGGAGAATGGGATTTTGGGATTGTCCTGGGATGCAAGTGCCCTTCCACCCGACACAAAGGCCAGTGTAGCAAGAACCAGCTACATAAACTTTCTGATTCTATCCTCACCCCACCTCAGAACAAGAAGCTCCTTCTGTGTGACTCTGGGAAGGTATAAACTTAAAGGGAGCAAACGGTAAACGCTCAGGAAGCCCCACAGGTGATGTCTACCAGTAAAACCCGCAATCTAGTACTTGCCTTTTAACCCACTCTCACTGAGTGCCAATCATGGTTGGTCCCCATCTCCTCCATCCCACAGTCTTAGTGGGCAGCGATTAGCTACTGGGAAGGGATTTTCACATTCTCCGCCGCCAGCAGAGGCTTCTGGACACCCGAGGGTGCTCAGTGTCCGCTGGGCCAACACTTCCTCATCCTGTGCCGGAAAGTGTCCATGCGTGGCCCGGGATGCCCTATTCTGCCTCCTGCTTCCTCTCTAGGGCGGGTTCAGATAGCGAGAAAAAGGGTGCTTGTGATCTATCGGATTCGTAGTGGTGGTATCTGCTCGTCCCAGGCTGACTCTAGAGCCAAGCAGGCGGGCGGTCCTCCGGGTGCGGGGAAGCAGGTGCGCCCAGAAGGTGCGCACCGACGGGAATGCGGAGATCAGCCTGGCTTGGCTTGGCTTGGCATAGCAGGTAGCCCGCTGGCTGAGCCAGGCCGCAGGTAGGCGCTCCGTGGCGCTCGGGGGCGGGGCGTCCTGGGGGCGGGGCATGACATCCCGGGGGACCAGCCCCGCCCCCGCCCCAGGCGGAGCAGACAGCGGCCCCCCGTGGCTGGGCTGGCAGCAGTGGCCACCCGCACTGCGCCCTGCGCTCTGCGCTGCCTTCACCTCAACTCCGAGGAGCGGCAGGGTCCGGGGTCCTGTCTGGCCATGGACACGGCCTCGTCCCCGCCCAGTGCTGAGAGGAAGCGCGCGGGTTGGGGCCGCCTGCTAGGCGCCCGGCGGGGCAGCGCGGGACTGGCCAAGAAGTGTCCCTTCTCATTGGAGCTGGCCGAAGGTGGCCCGGCGGGCAGCACGGTCTATGCGCCCATCGCGCCAACCGGAGCCCCGGGGCTCGCGCCCCCCATGTCGCCCCCTGTGTCGCCCGCCCCGGCCCCTGCAGACCTCGGCCCACGTCCGAGGGTGAGCCTTGACCCGCGCGTCTCCATCTACAGTGCGCGCCGTCCGCTGCTGGCGCGCACCCACATCCAGGGCCGCGTCTACAACTTCCTCGAGCGCCCCACGGGTTGGAAGTGTTTCGTGTACCACTTCACTGTGTGAGTAACCTTCTTGCACGCAAGACTCCTAGGGTTGGTGCCACTGAGACCCAAGGGGAGGCAAGAAAGGGCTAATCACAGAAAGCAGACTGAGAGTCAGTCCCTTAAGTTCAGGGACTCTGCTGTGGCTTAGTGGGGCATGTGGAGGGTGACACTTGGAATATAGAGTACACTAACCTAGGAGCTCCCCCAGGCCATGCGCTTGGGATGGAAGGAAAGCGCTTAGATGTTAGTCCCCACAGGAGGAGAAAGCAAGCTGGGAGCCGACCTTTTAGTGTGGGTCAGCTGTGACAAGAGACTTGGGAGCCCCCAGGAGTGACTGGTGTCTGTGTGCAAACCCATCCAGGCTTTGGCAGGTGTCTTTGTCTTAGGCACTCAGAGCAGCAGGGACGTTTACAGGATAGATTAACAGGTGCACTGGTGTTGCCCAAGATGTCCACAGGGAGTGCCCTCAGCTTCAATAACCCAAGCTGATGAAAGTGAGTAGGATGCCCTGAGCCCAGGTGACATTGTCTGGAGTCCATGAACAGCACCTGCTTTAGGGAACGGGGGAGGGAGCGGAGCTGCACCTGGCCCTCACTGCTACCAGGTGGCTTTTATTCTCACAGGCTGCCTGAGAGGGGCAGGGCACTCCATTTTTCAAGGGCAGGGTCACAGAAAGTCATCTCCAGGAATGGTCTGGCTACACTCCTTGCTGCCTCCCCTGGCCACCTCGAGGTAGCACTTCCTGGCTGCCTAGTTTCTTGGTGCCCTGCCAGCCTCTGGCTCAGGATTCTACCCGAACGACCCCGAAGCTAATTGCTTTGGATGTTCCACTAGGTGACCTCCTTGTGGCTAGTCTTGCCACCTGGGCAGGGGAGGGCCTCCACTGGGTGTCCAGCATTCTGTTTATGCCTCTGAGGTACAGCAAGAGCCAGGCTCACGAAAGTGAGTTCTGATGACTGTTTGCCTTGCAAAGGGGGGACAGTGATCTCCCAGGGTATCCAGGGCAAGTCTCTGGACACCCTGTCCCCACTGGCATTCTTGGATATGCCCTTAAAGCCACCCAACCCCCCCTACCCCCGCCTTACCTCCCGAAGTGTCAGGACCCCTGAGGCTTCATTGCTGGTCATTCGAGGATGGAATCACTGCATATGTTTGCTGCCGCAGTGGGCTTTTCTCAGGGCATAGGGAATCGTGTGCAAAGACCCCAAAGGGCCTTAACCACTGTAGGAATGTCTAGCAAACATGGCTTGCTGCTTTCTAGCACTTGCCTGCTGGATCCTAAGATCCCTGAGATGAAAGGGGTGGGGTGCTGGAGAAGCCCCTACTCTGTTACCTTTCTGTCCAGGAGCTCCATTCACCAAGGTGAGCAGCCTTCAGACACTTGTATGGAATCCTCCTGGGATAGCAGGTCATTAGAATGAGCGTTGTTAAGTTCCTGACTGTGGTAGCCTGGCCCTGGCGGAGGAAGAGGGCTTGTCCCGCCCCAGAGGAAGTCTGTGCTTACACTGTGCTTTCTTCCTGAATTGGATTGTTCAGCCCTCGGGAAGTTTGCTCAGCAGAGCTTGCCTTTGCCCAGCCTCCCCAGGAGCCAGGAGCCACTGGGCCCTGGTGGCTTCTAGATTGGTGGTCTATGATCGTCTTTGTCAAGGAGAGGGAGAGAGATGCTAGCTCCTGAGTGGTGGTTGGTGAATCTTGCCCAGCCTTATCCTTGGCTGCCCATGGAGTTTAGTTACAAAGAGGGAGGGGTAAGTAAGCTGGGAGTACCCTGCTGGGCACAGCATGTGGTTTGCTGAGACTCTAGGGGAAGGGGCCTCATCTCCATCACCTTCAGGAGGTGGGCAGGACCTTCTGGGTCAGGCAGTTTCCTGAGAAGAGACATGACCAGCAGTTGGGAGCCTAACTAACATCTTTATAAAATGCACGGTCATGCTGGTTGCCCCTGGTGTTGCTCTAAGTAGCAAATGTGGCTGGCAAACTGTGAGCTCTGCACTTGGTAAGATGAACCCTAAAATATACAGGGATGGTTCTGTGGTCCAAAGGACAAGCCTGGTCTTGAAAAGCAGGGCATGAATGTGTGGGGGTGGAGGGAGGCTCAGGGGTGAGAGCCAGTGTCCTGCAGTCTCTGGGGTATGCTTTCCCACATGCGTATGGGGAAACAGACCCGGACATCCTGGCCCCTCCTTGGGGGACCCCTGCCTTGGCCCAAGTAGAGTAGCTCTTCCTGTGTCTGTGCTGACCTTCCCTGGCTGACAGGGTCAGGACATGGTCCCCAGGCACTGTCCTCTGCTGCTTGGGTTCCCACCCCCTCACCCTAATCCTATCTTGTGGCTCTGTATCCCTATAGAGAGCATCCTCTTCCTAGCCACGGTCACAGGGATCTAACTGCCTTGCTGCTGGGCCTTGGCCAAGGTCAGGGGTAGGTGTTCCAAAGAATCTACTCGTTTTTGATTGTCAAGCTGCTTGGAGATACTGGTTGTAACCAACAGTGGGTTTTAAGAGACACTGCCCACCTCTCTCATTCTTGAACCTAAACTTGGTCATCCTGTCTCCATCCCCTCACAGTCCTGGCTTACTCAGTTCCCAGAGAACTTTCTGGTGCCTTTTGCTAGTACCTCAGGGAGTTGATCATGAGTGGAGCTTGCAGCTGCTCCTGGTAGTCAAATGGGCTGGCCTTTCCAACTGCAGGGGCTGCACTGTATTGGCTATGACTCTCATGGAGTGGCCACTGGGCAATTATTTAGCAGACCTAGGAAGACAGCTGTCAGGATGATGGGAACATAGCAGTGAGGTAACTGTAGGGCTGTGTAGATAACCAGTCTTTCCTTCTGGTTACTGTAAACACCTCTACCTATTCTTCAGCCCTGGATAAATTTTGAGGCTTCTCTGCATGCCATCTCCTTTGGGGCCTGGTCCCTTGCTGTCATCTTGCTAGCTCTCTTGGCATCCTGACTGTCCATATATACATATCCCTACAACCTGTCCTCAGACCCAACCTGGCATTTTTGTGTATACCATTGTCTGTATGTGGAGCACTTCATCTTGGTGTGCCCTTAGTTGGGTGGCCATAAACATCCTTTGTGGCACGGTTTTCACCTGGGTAGGTGGAGACAATCTCATGGAACTCAGACCTGAGGAAGGGCCTCCCTACCCTGGGTCATGAAGGAACTGGGGACTTGTGCCAGGCCAAAGTAGTACTGTGAGCTGCTGAGGCAGGGAAGAAGCCTATAGGGACCCATGGTGTAACAATGACAAGGCATTGTCAGGCCAGCTGCTGTGGCCTCTGTTTCTCAGGGACTTTGGTGCTTAGAGCCCTCTGGTGGCAAAGTAATGTCCAAGCTCATGTTTCCTGGGTGTGGTGTCCCCTTTGCAAACAGTGCTTACTTAAAAAGCACAATGCATGGTGGCATCCAGCTGCCTCTATCAAGTGGCTCCTGAGTAATAAGATGTACAGTTCTGATCATGGCCAATGTCAGGGCCCCTGCTCCTTCCACTCTCTCTCTTCAGCACCCTTATCTAGGAAATGGACCCTGATTAGCCCCATGGTCCCACCAGCTCTGATATTCCAGGCCAGCTGTTGGCTCCTATGTACCTTGCTGTGAGTCATTTCCCTCTTCATGAGACTGACAGGCTTGGGGAGACTCCAAGGCATGTTCCAGGCCCAGAAGGAGACCAAAATGGTACAGAAATGTGTGGTTAGTCCCAATGAAAGGTTGTAGAGAAACTTCTAGAAGCTTTTATGTGGGTTGCCTAGCATCTGCCTCTGGCAGGGAGAATGAAGGGATGAGTGCTGGGCACTGGGGCTACTTGGATGCTGAACCTAAGGATTAGTTGCTGAGGGGAGGTGCAGGCCCTTTAGACCCCGTGGGGAAGCATATGGAGTAACAGGTAGGGTAGGAGGTAGGCTGTGGCCCTGCAGGGCCTTAGGGCCAAAGAGTAAGTGGTGTCACCCCTGCTAAGCTCTGCTCACCCTACCTGAGGCACTCTGGGATGCATCCTCTTTGCTCTTCCTCGTGGGAATCCCTTTTCATAACCTTGCTGATTATGCAGAGCCCCAGATTTCTGCCGGCCTCAGAGAGCAGCCAGTGATTGCTCTATCAGCAGGGTGACTGTGGCCATCACAGGACCTGACTTTTCATGAGGCTTCAGAGCATGTGAAAGGAATGCCTCTGTGAACCCGTTATCTTCTGTTGTGTGGCCCAGCCCCATTCCCTGGCCCTGCCCGGAGGCCTTTTGAGAGGTGGAGGGGGCTGTAACAGTGGCTCTGTCAAGGACCTGTCAATATGGCTACCTACTGTGTACAGTTGGGAACCCTGGAACTTGGAGGACAGTAGATTATCTGTCTGAGGTCACACAGTTGATTATGCCCAAGGAGCCAGGAGCTCCTTCCCCATATACCACATGTGGATCAAACCAAGTAAGGAATGGGTCGCTGTCCTTCTGGGAGTAGAGAGTCCCTGGATGGAAGGAACCTGTCCTGTGAGAATGAGTTGGAGTCCGACCTGACAAATGGCAGCTGCAATACACAGTCTGTCAAATGTTCAGAAGCTGCTTCCTTCAGGAAGCACAAGGCCTAGATATGCTCAGTGTCTCTGTCTGTGTCCCTGTCCCCCGCCCCCCTTGCCTTCATGTATATGAAGAATCTATTGGTGAAGCTGTCTCTCTCTCTCTCTCTCTCTCTCTCTCTCTCTCTCTCTCTCTCTCTTTCTCTCTGTGTGTGTGTGTGTGTGTGTGTGTGTGTGGTCTGTGTGTTACCATGTGTCTTCATGCTCCTGAGTGTTAAGAGGCCATACAGGCAGGGCCACCTAGAGCTGTCTGGCTCCTTTCAAGGGCTATCTTCACCTTTTATTTTACCCCACCCTCACAGCCTGGGCTGTGGCAACTGCTGCCTGGAAAACTCTAAGCCCCACAGACAGGCCAGACTGATGACATCTGCCTGCAGTATTTTTATCCAGTGACATTCCTGAGCTTGGGAAACTGGTGGGCAGACACAGAGGCTGCCAGAGGGCTTTTCAGTG